ATACTCGAGTTGATATTTTTTAAAAGTTATAGCAACGTCATTTTGGGGTATTTCGTATCGAAATTGCATCCCAAAAAAATGAGAAAAATATTTTACGTGGCATAGCATTCTTCAAATTTTTGAGAACATGCATGTTCTTTCAAATCGGATACTTTTAGAAACTGTGTTTAATTTTACAGCGCTAGAATCGAGATCACCAAAATTTGAAAGAGCCACTGTTTTGTAGGGGTGTGTAAAATTAGGAATACGAAAGTAAATCTTGATTTTTTTATATACAATTTTTTTTAAACACATTGCCCATGCGTGCTTAAGGGGTGAGATAGTTCACATTAGGCGGGCTTCAAAAATGCAATATTTATTGGTGGCAGCGGTACGAACCGCGCGTAAATCATAACGGCAAATTATTCCTCATTTATATGTCATTATATATGTTTACAATGTCATGTTGCATATGGTTGTTTATAAATATTATTTACATGCAATAACGAAGTCATATCATAATATTTCGTTTATATTTTAAGACAATGAAATTCATTTTAAAAGGAAAGGGTTATGTGCGTTTAAAAAATAGAAATTACTTCCCTTTATTAATTGTTCATTTTTTTTTTCAAAGGAATAATAGTATCATTACTCAGTACAGCATACTGTACTGCATTGTAATACAGGAATTGTAAACAAAAATGTGTTTTTATGTAGATCTATCGCGTCAGTAAATATGTCATCTATCAGTGAATATCACATCATATTCAAGACACTCAAAATTGATAGTAGAATAAAAGGGAGGTAATAAAAATATATATTTATACTCTCCGTATCTAGCAAACATAAAATTAAAAAGAAATAGCAATGCAAACAAATAACTTGAATAAAAGTGCACATATTTTTATGTAAATTTGGTATTTTTAAGTAAAGAGATAACTCATTTTGTTCACATTATACTGCAATTTATAAACAATTTTGAACATAGTAGAATTAACGAAGTGATATCCTCACTTCTGACACCAATTTAAATAATTTGTTAAACCCGCACAATGTGAAATTATGCTCACCTCTAGTGCATGCAAGGGTGATTACTCAACAAGATTTGTGTATTCTTGAAAACTGACTGTAATTAATTGATTAAAAGTTAGATTCTCTCTCTCTCTCTCTCTCTCTCTAAGACATGCATCATTATCAATGGCTGGATGGCAGGCATGTTTTTGGTCAGTGCATATGGAAAGTTCGACTTTTTTACGGGGTTTTAATTAATGGAAACTCATCTTTATAATAAAATTTGATATTGCACTGATAAAACCCAAGATGGGATTCTTTTGGTTAACTGACTTATACATTGTTATAGGGGTGTTATAAAGAAATGATTTTAATTAAATGACCAATGTTGTTCTTTGTAAGTTCTGCAATTAATCTGTAACGACATTTTTTGGCAATTTCTACCGATGATAAATTCACACGGATTTTGTTGAAACATAAAATAATATACAGTACAGGTACTCGTATTTAGAAATTCGTGTCCTTTTGACATACGCTTTCGTCATTGAACATTTTACAATAGCAACTGCAGCAAACTCGCAACCAATCACAACTTACTCGTTGCTGAGCGAGTCACGATTTCTGCAAGATAATTTAGTAATAAATGTACTTTTCATTTCTCGTCCTCAATCGGTAAAAAGATCGTAGTAAAGGCAATCAAAATTGACTGTACTGTAACTGCATGCGGATGGCTAGATAAAGGATCGATGCGGGTTGGAAACAATTATAACGAATATGGAAGTATTTTATTTAAAAAATACTGAATACTTGTACATATTTTGGGAAATTTTTTGTTCCTCGCAACGAACTACATATTTTTTGTTGTTGTTGAACATATACAAGAGGCTGAAACGATGTCGAGAGAAAACGATAATTCGCCTAAAACACATATCATGTTAATACAAAAAAAATTGCTTAGAGGAAACGTATAGACTTTATTGTTTACACTCCAGCATTATCTTTAATTATACTATATTATACTATATTTACTATTTAAAAGTGCACATCAGTCCAAATATTATGTCAGTCCAGTAGTTGATTCAGCAAAGTTATAATTTTATGCCATGACCTCTACATAACTTTTCGTTTCGATATCATTTGGTTTAGATAATGCTAATGAAAACATAATAGTGATATTGATCCGATATTAATATCATGCCTATAAAATAAACATTCATAATGCTATTTCTGTTTTTCAAAATCAGTTTATAAGTGATTTGTTTGAATAGACGCCCGTCCGTGCCACAGACACTTGGGGTTTGGAGCTCAAAACGCCTTTAAAATCCAAATAAAATGCATATTTGTCAATCCCAGCACATGTACTGATCATATATATCAAAAAACTTAATATAAGCCGTTTTGAAAAAAAATCATATTTCAACATCTAGTATTATTATAGTTGTTGAAATATGATTTTTTTTCAAAACGGCATATATTAAGATTTTTTGATATATATGATCAGTACATGTGCTGGGATTGACAAATATGCATTTTATTTGGATTTTAAAGGCGTTTTGAGCTCCAAACCCCAAGTATCTGTGGTCCGTGCCATGTTTGCCCAGGTCAACTTATCGTGTTCACTAATTCTGATAAAGAAGATCTAGACGTAGGTGGTAGGGAAAAAGAACACGTTTTGTAACATATTTTGAAGTATAAACCATCTCTTAGGATTTTTTTCTTCTTTTTTTTGTATTTTAAACACTATAAATTAATTTACAATATTTGCATGTACTCGCTTCATATATATACAAAGTTTTGAATATTTGAGATATATATCACTGCGTGATAACTTAAACGATGTGACAGTTGGTAGATAAAATAATAAAAATTGGTGACCTAGGATGTTTGAATACTTTGAAGTTTATAAATATTGACAGTACATAAACAGCATTATTACATAAATCTGCTGAAAAATCACCAAAACAATACATTTATACAGTATGTTTCTTTGAGACTGTTTAAAAATAAAAAATGTCAGAAATATTTCTTACTCCAAAATACTATTTATGATAGTTTACGCCTTTAAAATCACTACGATTAGAAGGTAAAAGTCTGTTTTGTCTAGTTTTATATGTCTAACGAACTGTTTCAGTTAATTTATTACAAGAAAAGCTGATTACAAAAAGTATGACAGAGCAAAGGTTGAACTCATCAGCATTCATTGGTCAATACATAGTCTAGAACGTGAGGTATATATTCTATAAATGTGTGTTGTGTGTATGTTTGTACATTGAGGAGATAAGGCAACATTTATACGAAATAATGACTTTCTCAGTGTTACTTTGCTGAATTTGTGTAAAGAAATTGCACTTCTTTGGATTTTGCCAGTAAAATAATTAAATTAAACAACTAACAATATATATAGTGTTGTCAGATTACATATATATGCAGGCTAACCTGACTCTATACTGGTGGGAAACCTGACTCTATACTGGTGGGAAACCTGACTCTATACTGGTGGGAAACCTGACTCTATACTGGTGGCTAACCTGACCTATTACTGGTGGAAACCTGGGACTCTATTACTGGTGGGTAACCTGGACTCTATACTGGTGGTTTAACCTGACTCTTTATTACTGGTGGGAAAACCTGACTCTATACTTGGGAAACCTGACTCTATACTGGTGGGTAACCTGACTCTTATTACTGGTGGGAAAACCTGACTCTTTATACTGGGGAAACCTGACTCATATTACTGGTGGGAAACCTGACTCTATACTGGTGGGAAACCTGACTCGTATACTGGTGGGAAACCTGACTTCTATAACTGGGTACACCACTCATACTTGGTGGGAAAAACCTGACTCTATACTGTGGTGGGTAACCTGACTCTATACTGGTGGAAACCCTGATCTTATACCTGGTGGGGAACCTTACTTATACTGCGTGGGGAAACCTGAAAACTCTATACTGGTGGGAAACCTGACTCTATACTGGTGGGAAACCTGCTCTATACTGGTGGGTAACCTGACTCTATACTGGTGCGGTAACCTGACTCTATACTGGTGGGATAACCTGACTCTATACTGGTGGCGTAACCTGACTCTATACTGGTGGGAAACCTGACTCTATACTGGTGGTAACCTGACTTTCTATACTGGTGGGAACCTGACTCTATACTGCGTGGCTAACCTGACTCTTACTGGTGGGTAACCTGACTCTTATATTATGGTGCGCGAAACCTGACTCATATACTGGATGGGTAACCTGCGACTCTATACTGGTGCTAACCTACTCTATACATGGTGGGAACCTGACTCCCTATACTGGTTGGGTAACCTGACTCTATACTGGTGGGAAACCTGACTCTATACTGGTGGGTAACCTGACTCTATACTGGTGGGAAACCTGACTCTATACTGGTGGGTAACCTGACTCTATACTGGTGGGAAACCTGACTCTATACTGGTGGGAAATACCTATCACGTCCGGCTCCAGCAGGTTTAAAGGTTAAAGATAAAGGTGGTTGTAGATTATTTAAGTTGATCACTTCCTTAAAACAGACGACCATGGAGTATTGTATATCAAATACCAAAGAGAACCTTATGTTTCAATTTTTTTGCTTTGAAGATTAATTACTGCATGTAAAGTTAGTGGTGCTGGTCTGGTATGGCCTGGCTCTGGTGTAGGGTGGTCTTTGGTGAAGCTTGATATGGCTATGCTGTGGCGGATGCTCGAATGACACAATATCATTTCCATGCTGAATTTACTTTTGACCCAAGATAAGTAAGCCTGATGTTAACATATTACTGATCGTATTTAAGAATTGTAAATGTAGATACATAAATATGTTAAAAAAGGTGGGACTCTGATAAAATATGAGTTTAGTCGAGTTGATTGGATTGGAAAGACTTTGGTGAAAGATAAAACTCTAATGACTCGACCTGAAGGCAATGTTGTGTCTAACTGACTGATATTAGTGCGTATTACTTTGCGCAATTTATTGATATGTAGAGAGAAAATGTAGTTACCATCATTGCATTTACTCAGAAGGTCACTCTTCTTTCGTAACCATGATAATACGGATCGTACTTCACTCCCTCGCCTTTCATCCGGGCATTTGGAAATAACACTGATCATTCTCTGCTGCATCATTGTAAAAGTTGTCAGTATTCACTTACGCACGTGTTTTTATCAAATTTTCCAACAAAAAATTTCTTCCTAAACACACGATAATCGTATTCATAAAATTCCCTATATGTGACTAAATATTTCTGTGTTCATGAGATGAACATATGACTCAAAAACTTACATAATTCACATAAAACATCCTCAAACACAAAATTATGTATTTCAATAGTATATTCAACTTCAGCACGAAAATATAATTATAATTAATATATCCCAACCCGAACACACTTGAATTTACAAATTATTTTTCAAAATAAATGTCTTTTATTAAAAACCTAGCTTTCCCATGATTATAAATCTATACAATTTCACGAATAAATCATCTTATCAATCCCGGTCCAAATATTCACCCTCCAAATTTAAATTTACTTAACGTATTAATCCTGACTTCCTCAGATAATGAAATAAAACCAGAAAATTTACTTTAATCCACGATAATGTCATTATTCTATCTGCTGGAAAGTAAAAACGAGCTCTTTTCCTGTTTTAGAAAAATTCTTATTATCGTCCCAAGTTCAGCGCAGTGTTTGTTTTGCTAGATTAAATGCATCACTTTTTAATATTTGCCTTTTTAAAAAAAAACCCTTAAAATTACTTCAAAGCTTGGGAAAAACTACCCTTGCTTTAAAATTTTTCCCCTGGGTTAAGCACTAATCACAAAGTTATCAAAATTTTGATAAAATTTATTCATTTTTGGGTTTTTAAGTTTTTTTAAAAGCCGATAGCATTTTATACCGGGAAAAACAAATCATCGTTCTGAATATAATAATAATTAGTCGTTTTCATCAAAAACCTTGGCAAAATTTAACTTTTAAATAAAAAAGTTAAAAATGTTCATGAAAAATTTTGCAAAAATTTACCCCGGGTGGGAAACGTTTAAAACAAACGGCATTAGAAATTTTAATTGGACGAAAAAAAGTTTTTTTTTTATGTTTAGTATACCCCGGATAAATTCGAGAAAATCAAATATTATTAATTTTTGCATTATGAATTATTGTAAAAAATGAAAAAGGTAACCGACAGAATCACTCGTTATAGTTAGGGCCCCGATTAAATAATAATTAATTAAAAATTTGTATTACATGCTATCTTAATTTAAGGCAATTTTAAATTTTATCTCATTGATCAATAGTTCATTATGTAATATGCATAGTATCTTTTATGACGTATGTTTTGCTCAAGTTATATAAATATATTTCGGTACACGTTTTTCTTTCTTTCTTGTAATCAATGTCAAGGTTGCCGATTCTGTACAGATGTGAGAATAGGTCCGGTGTAATGTACATGTACACCTTAACGCATGAAATATCCCCGAAGCTACCGTATGCCCAAATACCTAAAAACTTTGTACAATAAACATGGTAAATTTCTTTTTTTGTATTATTTTAAATTAATATGTTCTTTACTATTATGATTTTGCAAGATGGAAGTTCTGGATTAATTTTCGATATATTTTAAATTTATTACACTAATGTGACGTGATAATTGTTTTATTTATCTATTTGCATGGCAATGTTTTGTATAAAATGTCTCTTCTCTTCTGTTAAATCAGCGAGTCTCAAACCACCCAAAAGTCCGGCAAAGTTCAGTTTGTATTTCTTTGTAGCGACGTGCCATTCAGTTATTGGATGGTTGTACTAGGGGTAGTGAACGAGTCCGGTTTCTAAAATAAACCTAGGAATTTATCTCATAGTCATAACACTGCCATGGCGACTTTGAATTCGGCGTTATACAGATCTTTCATAAGGGCCTCTCACCCTCTTAAGATGTACTTAACAGCTACCGGAATAATACAGTCTCTCTGAAAGGTAATTAAACACTTTATTTACCCACCTTCAATTCTTTATATTTCTTCTACTTTTACTTACTTTCTCAAATTCTAAAGTGACATTGATTACTAAATAAACATAGAGGGGGACAAAGCTCGGTAAATAATGGAGCGCGAACGCTATTGATGATCTATAAAGTCAGGTAACTGTGACCATCCTTATATACACCTTCTTAATTAGTACATTAAATAATAATTACATTGTTAACATTTTATTTTTGTATAATTATACGTTATACGTACAATGAATACATTTAATCGACAGTATTTCACAATAGAGACACTGTTTGGTATCGTAATTTCAGTCGATACATAATGTACTTTTTATATTGAATGTAACGTTTTAGTTTTGGTAAGGAAGCGATGTAACAAAATCGTTTTTCAATTTTACTGAAAGATCGATTGTATTTCAGTGAAAGTGTTTTGTTGTTTGTAAATAAGAAACGTATACAAAGTAAAAAAGTAGAGAAAGTAAAGAAAGCAGAGAAGTATTGTGTCATAACACAACATGCATTTATGGCTGTGATTATGTGTTTTTTTTCGTCTCAATGGATATTAATTTATAAGTGAAAAGTCTGTACTGTCGAATTGATGATCATATAAAGGTCTGATCATTTTTCAAACTGCAGATGTAACACTGCGGTGAAATATTGACATACATTCTTTATTTATAAATAGAAATTCATATTTAATAATGACCTTTAAATTGCATTGTGTAACATTCGAAAACAAGTATCATGCATAACTGTGTTTTATTCAATAACTCCAGTATTCTCATAAAATATTAGTTTATTTAACAGTTGATGTTTCGTCAATAATAGACTTATACAACAGTTGTACTTGTATCAGATGCCTTGTTATCTGTAGGTGATTTCGTTGACGTTGGAGATGCTTCATCAGAAGACATGATTTCCAGGATTGTTGGAGTTTGTTCATTTGTAGTTTGATTTGTAGTCGCCGAAGTAACGTTTGATGTATCATCACCGATAGGAGATATCGTAGGGAGTGGACCAATTGTAGATTCGGTAAAGGTATTAGATTCTGCAGTGACTATATTATCGGAAGGTATTTCGGCACTTGTAGTAGCAGATGACTGTGTGGTTGAATTTTCCACGATCTCTATTGTAGGCCCGGGAGGATGTGTTGTTTCTGCAGGCCCCAAAGTCGTACTTCCGTTGGCATTCTCTTGCTGCTCCAGTAATTGTAGTAAAACTGTAAAACAATCAGACATATTGTTAAAGACGACGGATACTTCACGAACCTGCACGTTTGTCAATGTATTCCAATTAAAAACTATAGGAATATTTAAGTTATATTTTTAGCATCACTGATTTTGCTTTTGACCTCAACCGACGTCAGTCAAAACCAGTATGTTCCTACCAAATATTATATGAACTATATCAGTCAATGAATGAATGCTGTATAAACAAAAGTGTAAAAAATCTATATCTTTAGCATCGATGAACTTGACTTTTACGCAAAATAACCCCAAAATCCACCCAAAGAGAACTTTCTACCAAACACGACAACTGGAATTTTACATACATGTATTATCATTGGTAAAAGCTAAACTTAACTTAAAACTTAACTTAAAAATACATACATATTTTCTACAAATAATGGATTTATCTGCCATCTTATCACGACGAATGGTGGCAGTGTTTCTGCATTTAATATTGCTGACATACAAAGCCTCTATCGGAGCACGTTCTACTTATATTTATACATTTGCACAATGGCACTACATCAGTCATAATGAGCTTTTTTCAGTTACATAGTCACTATAAAAGTTATATATCGACTTTTCTATAATTACTGGTAGACAACAGTCCGTGTAGTGTATCATATGAGTCAGCAAACTCATCACAGTGATTACCTCCCTTGGCAGAACTTCAAAGACGTCACATGATGATGAAAGTCACATGACGTAACGTCGAAATTCAAATGTAAATATCGACCGTTACATAGAAAATCTAACGTCATTTTTCTATTTCTGTTTTATTTTTAACTTTTAGTGCCTACGTTCGATATAGTTTATCAAAAAAATATCAAAAGTATACAAAATACCGAAAAATAAATTCAAAAGCTAAAAAATATAAAATATCAAAATATTGTCTCGGTAGAAAATATTCTCATAATTTTTAAAATTATTTCTAAATATTCATATTATTTATTTATTTATTCATAAACATTGTTAAATAAATGAGAAAAGAAAACTTATCTGATAGATGAAAGCAGTAGATCTAGATAAAACAATTTTTGAAACAAATATAGTATATCAGAAATTCTGATATATCGGGACCTTGGTGGCAGTCTGACAGAGATCTACGCCAAAGAATTAAGGGGAGATCACTGTGTGGAGATTGATGAGCCAGTAGCAAGCGCATGCGACCTTTCAAATATCAGCTTTACCGCTTGAAAGGCACATTATGCCTCAAAATGATTTTTTCCATCTTTAAAAAGACAAACTTTACTTTATAACGTGTAGATAATGGTTTTAGAGTATGATAGATTTTACTTATCACCTGAGGAAAATAGCACTGATTGTGAAATTGTCACAAAAAGTATCAAAATGTAAACAAAGAGATATTTTAGCTTCCATGTAAAATACTCAAACACTTTAGCTGTACTACTGTACCAAGAAGTTAACGAAGCAAACGATAAATCAGGTAATTACTTTTTTTTTTTGAAAAGTAAAAAAATGCATTTCTGAGGCATAATGGGCCTTTAAGGAATTGGTTTAGGACTTACCTGTTGTGTTAAGAACCCACTGGAAAGTTAGATCATTTGAATAAACGGAAGTTTGTGATATATGTCTCATTTTCGTGACTATCGTCGAACCATTTAGTATTTCCTTCAAATCCGTTGGTACAGGAATGTTATTCCTGAAGATAACAACACATTTTCACATATAAAGGTCAGTTGTCCCTTGCAATGTCAATAATATCCACGAACCTGCACGTTTATCAATGTATTCCAATGCAAAGTATACTCAGTATGGGAATATTTTAAGTTATGCTTTTAGCATCACCGATCTTGTCAAAATGTCTTGACCTGAATCAAAGCCAGTCAAAATAACTGGTTACAAAATGGTAGTTGAAAATGTACAGATTCTATATACATCCAAATTAATTCTACTCAATGATATAGAAATTCATATTTCATGAACTACTTTTTGATTCAGATTAAATTTGACCTATAGATGAAAACGACAAAAGGAAGACATAGATAACCTGTATTTTTTACCGTACCCTAAAAGAAAATTTGAGACAATAACAGCTAACACATCATTGGTTGGTATGTCATGACATTGAACGCTGAAGGGACCAGCAAAGTTCCCAAGCATCAGGATACCAAATCTTCTAGTCAGGAACAGGATAGTTAAATGCTTTCCCTGTAAATATAAAACACTTCGTTAATTGAAATATAGCCTAGCAGATAATTTTAACCTTATATATATAAAGCTCGTATAATCCATGCCAAGTATTCATTTTTCTCGAATGTGAACACGTGTACAATTAATTCGTCATGTTTTCAATAATTATCAATGAATTTACATGTAATTATATTGATTTTAACATTTCACCAGATTATACGTTATTGACAAAAATGGCCAGTTCGTGTAAACATACTAATCTCGTTTGTTAAAACCTATGTCCAACAGTATATTCTTGCATATGATGTAAATAGTTTTATACTTAAATTTCTATTTGCAAAATATCAAAACTATTTTTTTGAGGTTTTGAACAATTGCGATGGAAATGATACATCAATTCGTTTCGTCAACAAATAAATTGTAATCGAGTACATGTTCTATAGCATTTTTCTTTCTTTAGAGGTTGAAACTGATGGTCTACACAAAGTTCGTTGATATCAAATTACATGTAAATAATTGAGCCGCTCCATGACAAAACCAACGTAATACGTTTGCAACCAGCATGGATTCAGACCAGCATGCGCATTCGCACAGTCTGATCAGGATCCATGCTCTTCGCTTACAAACCCTATAACAAGTAGGCTGCGGATGCGCAGGCTGGTCTGCCATGCTGGTCGCAAACGAAAACGCATTGCCTTCGTTTTGTCATGGCGCGGCTCATATTTGTCTAGCGAAGGCATGAGGTAGGAAGGAGTATTTATTACATTTTCTAAATAAGGACTTACTACAGTGCAGTTTCTCAAAAGAACGTGTGAATAATCTTCGGTAAAGTCTCCACGGCAATCAGCGTTGTCATTTCCCTTTCTCAGGTCAAAAGTTTTAAACTTCGTCTTGTCGGGGTTTGTTATGTCTATTGACCCATGGAAATCGCACTCTGTGAATAAAAACACATTTGAAATTATATACATGTGTATCTGACATATTAATGGACATTCGACAAAGTTGGCAAACCCGCTTCATTACGATTTTACAGAACAAAGCATTTTAATTTTATTAAATAAAATTTTTATTTTCATCTTTTTGGAAACATGTATAATTATCAGGACATCAAAAATAAAAATCTTTTGAGAAATTAAAATTAAATATCTTTTGAAACATGCTGGGCCCTTTATCTGAGAAATGAGCTAATATGACACACAACATTTATCACGTGTCATATAAGGTCATACACCCAATTTTCACGCATAGGGCATTTACAAAGTGGACCTGAAGTGATAGTCTGGGTACCTTGGCCTGGTTGCTGAAAATAACGAAGCAATGGTTTGGTTGCTTTAGGCGCCGAGCCAATTTCCTGTTGTTTTAAGTATAGAGCCAAATGGTCTGGTTGCTTTGGGCGACAAACCAATTATTACTTTACACGACGACAAATACATACAAAGGGATCCGGCACAAAACATATAGAAACAAATATTTTATATAGTCTCTATATAAAATATTTGTCCCAATATCTTTTGTCAAATTGCTTGTGTAAGTTAATTAGACTATATATGAACACACCCATGTGTGTCAGACCCCTTTGGATGCATCCGCTTTGTCAGCCATGTTTGTTTTCACTTAGTCTGTCCAACGTGAAAGTAGGCCAAAATTCATATAATTACAAAGCTCACATTGTTATATGATAAGCCATTTGCATGTACACTTCCAGTTCTATGTATAAAGGACTATTTTTAACAAAAAATGATAACAATAAGAAAATTTACCTTGAATGTGCTAAATTTCAAAAGACCAAGTACAATCTGTTGTAAAGTTTTATGCACATTTCATGAATGGCAAAATCCAGTTTAAAGTCAGTTTTAGTGCAGACAAATGCTTTCTTTTGCAGAAAACACAAAAAAACTTGCAAAACTATAATCGTAGGAAAGTTGTTTATCTGACCTTGAAAAAAATGGCCTCCATGCCATGTGTCAGAAAAGTAGTACCATGAAAATAAACATTATTTACCTATTGCTTGTTTACATGACATACACTTTGGCCTACTTTCACTTTGGACATGTTGGAAACAAACATGGCCACCGTAAGAAACATACGACAGATAGATACGACAAATACATATGACACATGTAAACATTATAAATTAGAAATATAAATGGTATATGTACATACCGTAGTCTAGCTGCATAGTTCCATGTATCATCACAACAAATATTACAAGAATATTTATGTTCATTTTGTTCACTTAAGGTTTACACCGTCGTTAAAATATTTACGTATTTTTGTTCTCGGCTTCGATGCTACCTATTCGACTTCGAGTCTCTTTGTTAAAACTTTAGCAAGCAAAAAACGTTTGCACGAAATTCACGGGTATAACGGTTTTGATATTAATAATATAAAGCAAGAGCGGGAAACTTGTTCAACTACAATCTGTCACGTCTGCAAACATTTTTATTGGGACTATACGTCTTAATATCATGCGATATAACAAAAAAGCAGTTTAAATTTTAATACATTGTATGTTTTAACTTTTTCCAGTTATAATAGAATATGATAAAGTAATAAAACCTTAGAAATCACATTTTCCAGACTGTGAGCTCATTATTTTAACTAAAAGTTCTGAATGATAAAATTTGGGTACTTTTATATAAGAAATATTCACTTGTATTTCAGGAAATTTTAAGAATGAATACAAAGTAAATGACAGTAAATACAAAAAATGCTATCATTATAGCTTAACCTTTTTACCCCTTGAGCATATGCGATAAATGGCCGTTTTCATTGAAAACCATCCTGTAACTAGTTTAAACTGCTATGACACTATGTGAAATGCTTCAATACTGATGAAACTTGGTACAAATGTTGACTAGACCATAGCCTCTGTAACAGCATGCTCAATGGTAAATTTCCTGTTACCATGGCAACGGGGGACGTCTCAAAATTGCAAAAAAAATCATTATTTTGCATTGTTTTTTTTTCCATCAAAACTGATTTCAAAGTGTTGCAACTTGAGAAATAGAGTAAAAGGCTTTTCAGCGCATGTAACTAGTTACCCTAAGATCGACCCGGGGCCATGTTTAGCCTTTCACATGTTTAAAATTTTCTTGGCGATTAGGGGGACTACCACTCCCTTCAACCCCCCCCCCCCTCAAACAGAAGGGGGCACATCCCCCTTCTGGCTACCCCCTGATGTAACATTTGGTTGAGGGTGGCGCCGAAAAAATGGTTACTTTTTGAACAACATTTATCAAACGAAAACGTGTTTGGGACCTTAATAGGGTAATTTTTCACTGTTTGAGGCCTCAAAAAGGGAGGCAAAAAACCTTCAAAACACGCTTATATGAGGGAAAAGGTTAAATTTGAACTGTTTTGTTTATTTAACTTTTGAAGTTATCTTACAACTCTTCTTTATCAATTAATGATTTGATGTTAACATTTCTCTCCCTTTAACAAAGTCCCCTATAATATAAAAAAAATAAACTGCTGTTACAAAGACAGTCTTAAAAGGCGGCAATATTTCAGATGGTCACAATTTTATGTTGCTATTTTTGTTTTGTCTTAAAACCTTTCCGGACTTAAATCGGCCTTTTATAAACACAAAGTTTTTTTCAATGAGCCATTTTCTAGGTAATTGCCAATATACTCATGTAATTTCGGTCTCGATATACACCTAGCTAATGAGCGCAAGCGTACGAAAAATTACAAAAAAATGTTTGATTAAATATACAGATTTACTGTGTCTTCGATATATAAGTGGTGTTATATAATTAACGGAACATCCTCCGCAATAAATACAATTTATTTCGAGATAAGTAAGTCGAAATTTCGAGTTAGTAACTCGAAATTTCGAGTTAAAAAAAATAACACCTGGCACTAATGCTCTTCCGTAGAAAATAGCCGTAAATATTTTATTTCTTTACCTATTCTTTGGGATATGTACCAGTCTACGGGGGAAAATATAAGCTTTCCATATCGGATCTTCTTCTGTTTATAAGCCGTTTTATCAAACATTTAACTTGGAAGTTGCTTTATTAGAGCGGGCATCAGCTGCAAGCTATTTCGTTTTCTGGCGTAATTTAGTCTACGCCATAATAAATAGGTCAGGTTTACATCAACCGGGAGTGCGGAGGGCAAAACTCTACCTAAATATGTTCGTATTTTTATTATGAATGACATAAATCTTACATTTTTGTGAATTGTCAATTCTGGCACCAGTTCCAAGTCGAAAAATAAAACTTCAGTTTAAAACAGAATTTAGAATCCGTTACAAATGTGAAAAACATGCTTACCGTTCTCTTTCTACAATTTTGTTTTTTATTGTTGATCTTTCACAGAGAGATTGTGAAAAAAACTGATTGTTCCTTAATGCAATAACACTTACTTGTATCGCAAAAGCGCGCGTCAAATCACATAGATTTAGTCCTGTCGAAAAACAACATTTTAATTTCGTTTTGAAGATGTTTAAAGTATGCTCATCTTATCCTTTGTAGTAAAATGTGTTTTATTCTGTTTCACAAT